AGAACTGGTCCCCAGGACAGGGTTTGAAGAGCCAGGACTGTCCCTGTGACTGGGAGCAAGTACGGGCATCATTATAAAGCCCATGAGTTACGGCTACATGTCGAGTGCCACTGTGACCCTGGGAACAGGCTAGTTGCAGCGGTGGATGGCTGAGCTGGGGACACCATGTTTATGGAGCCTTCATGGAGCTTAGAGAACAGTGCAGTTCACACAAGTACGTGGCCAGAACATCCTGCTCCTTCAATGCTGAGCAAATACAAAACACTTCTTTTGCTGCAATCCACAGGGAAGGTTATTCAGGTGCCGCTCTGTTCAATCCAGTCCCAAAGGAAACCCCTTGGGCCTGGTCTGCACTAGGAAAAAAGGGGCTTTTTTTCCCAATCAAGTTAATTTAGTGACGTTCACTTGGGCAGGACCCAGGGCTGTAACGCTGCTCCAGCTCAATGCACACACACTTCTGTTTCCCTTCACACAGTAGAAACTAACCACCACCGGCAGTTTCTTTGTTCAGAAATCCTCCAGCCTGCCCCTCCAGCGAGCTCCAACTGGCTTTGTTTCTTTGCTCCCTTCCAGGATCCCAATCAGGGCCGGCTCCAGGCACCAGCCGAGCAAGCTGGTGTTTGGGGCGGCAGCTTGTAGGAGGGGGCATTCCGCCCAATACTAGGGTGGCACGGTCGTTTTTTTTTTTGGGGTGGTGTTCTGCTCTGGCCGCCCTGTAGGGGGCGGCGGTGCGGAGGATGGGAGTGCTCTGCAGGAAGCCCGGCAGGGCAGCCCGCGTCCTTCCCTCCTTCCCAGCTGACCGGAGCAGCGTAGAGCCCTCCCGGCAGGCGGAGGGGCCACGTGGTAGTGCCCCGCTGAAGCCCTGGCCGCCCCTCTTCTCTCTCTCTCCCCCTGCTCCTTCTCCCTCCCCCTGCTAGCCGGGGCACATCTGCAGTGCAGGGAGTCCCCATGCACCCTCGCTCCGGCCACGACGCAGGTTTTTGTTTTTGTTTTTTTTTTTTGCTTGGGGCGGCCAAAGAGCCAGAGCCAGCCCTGATCCCAGTCGCAACTCCTTCGCCTAACTTCTCCCTCCAACAGACACAGTCTGATGCCAGTATCCTGGCCCCAGCATTGGCAACAAGGGAAACCCCTGGCTTAGCTCTGCCCATGTGCCCAGTACCTTTGGCGGTAGCCCTCACTGTCAGTAGCTGTTTAACTACATAACAGATCTTTATTGCTCCATCTGTTGAGCCTAAAAGAGAGTTCTCACCCTGCCATTGGCTTTCATGAGGTCTGTGATTGTCTTTGGATTGAAGACTCCCTGATGGCAGCCATAAGCCGCCCTCGGGATAACCAGGGCCAGTCACCTGAACAATTTATGACAGCATCTTCCTTATGACCACAGTTGCTCTCACCCCAGGGCTTGGCAGGACAGTTCCAGAAAGATGACTCTGTCCCTCTGCAATTCAATGTCTCCACCCAGACTGGACCAGTCCCCTCACCGAATGTAACCTCACAAGGGGCAGATACAGCAGATCAACAGCCCAGTTGTTTACACACAACGTTAGCATCCGCCATGTCCCAGGAGTCATCACAAACTGTTCCCCAGGAGCCACGGTACCAAACCTCCACTCTCCCCGAGCATCCGTCCTCTCCTCCCACGACACGTAACTTCTCCTGGTCTGGAAATGCGGAAACCTCACATGTTACTGGGGGAGCTGGGAAAGTCCTTAGTGACCAAGGGTGAGACCCAGAGAAGCAGAGATACCTGTGCAGCTTGTAGAGTTCGGGCATTCGGCAAACAGGGTCTGAGTTGGTTTTGCTTTTTTTCCTAGGGAGAGAAAAAGCTGAGGTGAATGCACTGGGTTGTGTGTGTGATGTGGGAGTAGAATTTATCTGTATTTTAAACCCCTAATTTCAGCACTGTATGAACTGAAACATGAACTCTAGGTCATTTAATACCTAATTAATTTGCTATTCAGCTGTTACTGAGACACAGGCCGACATGGACACAGACCTGTGGGGATTCCAGTCTTAACCCAAACTGCACAGCCTGGGCCCATCTCTGATTGTTCATCCCAAAAGGATTAATAACCACAGAGCTGCCTCATAACGGACTCTAGGGAGAGGCTTTTCTTCGCTGTCTTATCGCACCTGTGTAACACCGGTCTATCTTATAATTAATTGATTGACTTCCATGTTTGTTGTTAATCAGACAAATGCTTATACCTATAAAAGACTGTGAAAAAATGTTTGGATCTTGTGTTGAGAATTTAAATCTGCCTACACTGAGATGTGAACAACAACAAGTTCTATCCTAACCCTTCAATTAATTGAACACATCGCGTACATGTGGGTTTGCACACGCGCATGCAGGTAGTTTCAGAATTACCAGTGCAAGAAATATGGGTCTCTTCTGCTCGGTTATCACATGACTTTGGATTCCAGGGCTCTGACGGGCACTGCCAGAGGGAGCTGTGCTGTTCACTGCATGCAACGTGGTCCAGCCATGTGGGACCAGAACCTGCTCCATATGCAAAGTCTCTTGCAATCTGCCCTCCATCCCCACAGTTCAGTTGTTTGCAGACAATTGCTGGGGTGACTCCAGACATCTGATTGGAGCAAACACTGCCCCACGTCCCATTGTAGAAAACCTCCAGCCGCCCAGCACAGTCACTGTCACTCACCAGCCTCAGATCTGTGAATTCTAGAAGAAAATGCACAAAAAGGGAATTTAAATCGTCTGATTCTGAAATGAACTGGGGAGTGAAGAGTGAAATCCCAGCGATGGCTAACGATCCTGGGCATCATTCTGCAGGAGCAACTGCTAGAGAACCACTCCAAGAATGAGAGATTCTTTTACACCCCTTAGAAATACAGAGGGCATCTCTGGAAAGCCCCCATTTGCCAGCAGCTAAATACAGATTGTAATAGATAAAGACCAGAAAGGATTGTGACATTGGCAGGATAAAGGCCAGCTCTTGCCCAGGCTGCAGCTGAGAACTGACAGTCTCGTAGCAGGAGACCAGGCCAGGTCACCTGTGTGTTAGTTTTGCTCAAAACAGGTATTAGTCTTGTAAGAACGTATTTCGTGTTTAGACTCTGTGAAATGGTTGTTAGTTGCTGCAGGCATTAATCTCACTGGTAATGTCTGTGGTCCATGCTACAAGACCATACTTATGTTTTGGTTTATAACTGAACATGTTGGCTCTGAACTTGTGAGCTCGGGCACGGGAGTCACCAACCCCAATCCATCCCGAACGACTATCAAAATCAGATGGGCCATCAAAGATCATCACAATATAAAGCATTGGTTAATGGCCTTATGGCACCCATGGAGCAGTACATGCAGAAGGCCCCGTCCCATCGCTTTGAAGGGTGGAAGAGGGAAATAAAAATAGGAGATGTGAAGATTTTTCATCTTTTTGGCTGTTTGAACTATGACAGGGCTAGAGACACCAAACTGAAGCCAGAGACCCCAAAGATTATCCCTGGGTCAGTGCTGAAGGACATTTGGAATTGACAGATCATTACGACTCTTTCACTCCTAGGATGTAAATGGTAACTCATTTGTGTGTATACGTGTGCTTGCTTTCATCTGTCAATAACCCTGTCATAACTCTGAAGGGAAGGGTGTAACAGCTGTCCTGTGTACAGTACTATAAAATCCCTCCTGGCCAGAGACTCCAAAATCCTTTTCCCTGTAAAGGGTTAAGAAGCTCAGGTAACCTGGCTGGCATCTGACCCAAAGGACCAATAAGAGGAAAAGATACTTTCAAATCTTGCGGGGGGGGGGGGAAGCTTTTGTTTGTGCTCTTTGTTTGGGAGTCGTTGACTCTTGGGACTGAGAGGGACCAGACATCAATCCAGGTTCTCCACATCTTTCTAAACAAGTCTCTCCTATTTCAAACTTGTAAGTAAATAGCCAGGCAAGGCGTGTTAGTTTTCCTTTGTTTTCTCAACTTTTAAATGTACCTTTTACTAGAGAGTTTATCTTTGTTTGCTGTACTTTGAACCTGAGACTAGAGGGGGGTCCTCTGAGTTCTTTAAGTTTAATTACCCTGTAAAGTTATTTTCCATACTGATTTTACAGAAATAATTTTTACCTTTTTCTTTAATTAAAAGCCTTCTTTTTAAGAACCTGATTGATTTTTCCTTGTTTTTAGACCCAAGGGGGTTGGATCTGTATTCACCCGGAGTTGGTGGGAGGAAGGAGGGGAATGGTTAATTCCTCCTTGTTTTAAGATCCAAGGGGTTTGGATCTGTATTCACCAGGGAATTGGTGAAAGGTTTCTCAAAGCTACCCAGGGAAGGAAATTAGTTTTTGAGAATGGTGGCAGCGGACCAGAACTAAGCTGGTAGTTAAGCTTAGAAGTCTTCATTCAGGCCCCCACATTTGTACCCTAAAGTTCAAAGTGGGGATACAGCCTTGACACACCCCTTTATTTCTTTTTCCTAGTGTGACAAAGTTCTGTCCTTGACTCCGTGGGTCCTGCATTTTCGGACTGATTTTGCTAGCCTCAGAGGCTCACTGTGACCCTCCACATAGCCCTTCTCTCTCTAGAGGCAAGGGTCACAGTCTACTGAGACATTTTCATCATAAGCCAACAAGGGAGGTGAGGAGAAGCAACCCTCCCTCGCACAGTCTCTGTTGTCTCCCAGTATCAGTGATTAATCAGGGAGGGGAGGGGGGAGCCCGGGCCCGCCCTCTACTCTGGGCTCCAGCCCAGGGTCCCTAAAATTAGCAGCTATGGAAGCTGACTTTTTTGAAATAGGATGTGTACAATTCCCTGGGCCACTTCCCCACAGCAGCGCCCCACTCAATATCTTCTTCACAATTACCTCAGGGCCTCCTTCCTTGCACCTGATATAGATTTGTACTGCTTCATTCCTCCAACAGCATGGCTCCCTCCTATAGCTCTTGACACTCACACCTCACTGACTAACTGGGAGGCTTTTAACTAGTTCCAGCCAGTCCTTGATTGGCTTCGGGTGTCCCAATCAATCTAGCTATCTCCACTGCCTTCTAGAAGGATCTTAATTGGCCCCAGGTGTCTTGATTAACCTAGAGCAACTGCCATTTGGTTACCATGGTACCAGGGATTTGTTTAGCCTGGGGCTAACATACCTGTTCCTCACTACTTTACTGTAGCCCTCTGGCCTTGCCCCATCACACTAGTTAATAATCTGTATATAGTTCATTACAGGATTGGTTACAGGCATTGTCTTTGGTGTAAGATCCAGGGTACCAATTGATCTGGGGTAAGTGACTGGTCTCTTGGGATTGGAAGCAACCTGGATGCGGTGTGATTTTTGGTGTGACTAATTATCACTAAGTCCAGTTTGTTTGCATGGCCAGAAAGACTGGAGAGTCTAAGTGGACTGTCTGTGACTCCATGATAAGCTTAATATAGTTATCCTGGAGTTCACATCTGTTACTGGCTTGGTGAAATCTAATTAGAGAACACACCACAAGTTTGGGGTATTGCCCTGTTTTTCACAATCTGCCCGGAGGTGGGCACTCAGAGCTGTGAGCCACTCCAGACAGCGTGACAGGGGATCATGAGATCAAACAGTCTGATCTTCTGTAAAACAGCTGCATAGAGCCCAATAACTTGATTTTGATGTAAGCATAGCTTCCAGAAAGGCACCAGTCTAGACATGAAGACTTCAAGAGATGCAGAATGCACCATTTCCCTGGTAGTTTGTTCCAATGGTTAATCACCCTCCCTGTTAAAAAATGGGGCCTTATTTCTGAGGTGAATTTGTCTGGTTTCAGCTTCCAGACATCAATTGTCATTCTGCCTTTCTCCATTAGATTAAAAAGGCCTTTAGTAAGTGGTATTTTCTCCTTGTGACTGTAATTATGCACCATCATCAAGTTACCTCTTGATCTTTCTGTTAAGCTGAACAGATTCAGAATCTTAAATCTCTCACCGTAAGGCTTTTATTAAAGCCATCAGATCAGTTTTGTGGCTCTTCTCTGCTCCATCTCCAATTTTTGTGGACATCAGAAGCAGGGCCGGCTCTAGGTTTTTTGCCGCCCCAACCAAAAAAAATTTGGCTCCCCCCCCGACGCAACCTACTGCTGCCCCAGCCCTGGGCTCTTCCCCATACCACCCTAGCTCTGCCCCCCACCACCCACACCCCCCTGCTGCCCCAGCCCTGGGTCTCTGGTAACTCGTTCCCAGCGCTGGTCATTCAGCAGGAATTTTGGATGTGCACAGAACACAGACAGGATTGGTTCCCATATAGTTACAGAACTGCAGTAAAGTGGAACAATTTTCAGCTTGTGTGACTGAAGGATATCTGGATGCATATTATAAGACTGTCCTACATAAATGAGGAAAAGTTGAGGTGCCTTTATTATTCTTTTGTTCCACTCTTTATTTCTATGGGGAATTTGCCAATGCAATATCAGTCTTTTTTTTTGTTTTGGTTTGGGGTTTTTTTTGTTTAAAAGGAAGACAGTGGCTGCTGTAAATATCAATTCCAGTCCTAATAACCACTGGGAAGCATTTCTTGCTCAATTTTATCCTACTTTTTCTACAGCAAGTTTCAGTGGATCAGTATATTTAATTTGGGAGAAATTGAGCTTGAGAACTCCTGAATCTTAAGGGTGTTCAAATCGGGAAGGCAGGTGCTAGATTCCCTTTCTGAATATTAGCTAAATCTGGAAAGGAAAAGTCAATTTCTGCTTCCATGGTTCAGAAGTGGAAATCCTCCTACGTGCCTGGTACTGTATCTAAAGCTGCCCAGGTCCTCTAGTAGAGCCTCCCCTCCCTTACTTTTCATTTTAAATTCTAGTGAGATCCACGTACCTGCCATGCTAGGCTTCAGATAGAGAGGTGCCCTGTCCGTTTAGTCCACCCAATTCTTTCTTTGGGGGCTTCAAGGTGAGGTCACACCAGTATTCCTAATCCAGTCTGGGGATGTCTTCTCAAGGGGATATCTGGGCCAAAGCCTTCTACTCCTTGGGCATACTTGTTCCTCCGTTCACAGTGCCACCCTGTTCTAGCAGTGAGCTCTCCATTCACAGCAAGCTGCAGCATGAGGTCTCAGCTACCTCACGCCCTTCTCCTCCCTTTCCTGTTGATTGCTGCCAAGGGAATGCTGGGAAATGTAGTTCTTTCCCTGCTCCAGGGCTGGCTCTATAGGCAGGGAGCTAACCAAGGAACTAGAGCTCCCATGGCCCCCTGTTGGTTCACAGCTCCTATGCTGGATCCCTGACACCCCGGCAAATGTGCCGCCCCGAGCACCTGCTTGCTTTGCTGGTGCCTAGAGCCGGCCCTGATCAGAAGTGGACACAATAGTCCAGTATCTGTCTCACCAGTGCCATATACAACAGTAAAATTTAATGCCCACTCCTACTCACTATTTCCCTGTTTATACATCCAAGTTTACATTAGCCAGTTTTGCCACAACATGGCACTGGGAGTGCATGTTCAGTTATTTCACCACTGGGACCCTAAATCCTTTTTAGTCACTGTTTGCCATGATACAGTCTCCTTCAGATACCTGAGACGCAGCATTCTAACATTAGGGAAATCTTGCAATATCTCCAGTATCTCTGGGTGGGAGCTGAGGACTTTCTAATGATTGGTGACCTTGATAGGTAGTTACACAAGGGAAAGGGAGGCAGAAACAGTCAGGTAGAGTATCATTCACAGCGATCTCCATAAACATCTGCCCACTCCATTAAATCCCTTACAAAAGCATTCACAGAACAGACCTGAGCAGAGAACTCCCGCATCCTCTTTGAGTCTGCAGTTGTGCTGGCCCAAGACCCTGGAAGGACACGCCCAGAGATCAGACTCATTCCCAGAGCAGTTCACGTCATCCAGCCAGATCGGCCCAGATCCTTGCCCATAATGAGCAGAGACAGTTGCATTAATGGCATGTCCACATCCCAGTTGTTTGCAAACAACATTGGAGTCTGACAGATCCCAGGAATCATCACAGACTGTCCCCCAGCTGCCATT